GAAAGGAGGTTCGACGACTAGGTTTAGGGAATCTTGGGTCGGGGTTCTGTTGGTGTTCGTCGATTCGGAAGATTTAGAAAAAGAAGTAGAAGGGTTTTTTCTCGCACTTGGAGACCGGGCAGAAGAAGAATTGTGATTGTTAGAAAAGGTTAAAAAAAAAGTAAAATGAAATGGAGGAGAGGAGGCGGAGGGATGGAGGCGGAGGCGTAGTGTAGTGTAGGAGGTGGTGTTCGTAGTGGTAAGGTAGGAGATGGGTTTTCAAGGTTTAAAGGATTAAAGTAAAGGTAAGGTACGGATATCGGTAGGTGAATGATTATGTTATTCTTTTTTTACTCCCCTTCTCGTTCTTAGCGGTTATTGTGACGAGTAGGAATGGTTGTTAGGGGAGGAATGAAGGGTCTGATACCCAATGGATTCAGGCCTTACAGCTTTAAAATGCGTAATAAGGATGTGAGGTAGTATGTATGTATGTATATGGAAGTATTCGTATAGAAAGAAACAAGTTTAAGATGATATTCGTAAATTCGTGAAATTATTATACTGTGAATAATGACAAAAACAATAATGAAGTGGTAATGATAATCAACCCTTTCCCTGATGATAGAAGATCATTCAAGAAAACAATCAATCATTAATTGATTAACTGATTAACCAAGCTTCATCGATTGATTGAGAGTCCCTCGAGTTCTTCGATTCTCACCAGTTGAGAGGGCGAGAGAGAGAGAGAGAACTGGTTGCTCAAACGTACTCGTATAATCTCTCTCTTTCTTGACAAGATTAGAGTGATTAATCAGAGGTGGCTGAGCGTAAATGAGATGACAGAGTATCGTCCGCCGTGTTGTGTGTTTGGAATGTTTAAAATTCGATTCGTATAGTGCCCAGGTGGTGGGTGGTATGAGATTGAGTTATGAATGAGGTTATGTAGGTATTGAATGAATATTGAGTGTACCGGACATATGATCAAAATGAATTACCGGCCGGTATAAATTCAATAGGACTTTTCCTAAGCAAAAGGATCCCGTTTCCGGCTTCCCGTACCATTGACCACAATCAGTTACTTTACTTTATCTTCCTTCTCTTCCTTTCTCTCTTCCCTCTCTAGTATCTACGGAGTATTAGCTTTGAAAAAGGTCGGTCCTCTTGGCTAGACCAGAACATCACCCTCGGAATATGGGGATTCTCTCAAATTCAAGACCCCAGGGGTTAAAATAAATCGGGGCCAAAGTACATTGAATGGTTACTTGTAATAACCCTACAGGGGAAAGTATGCAGAAAAACTCTGGGCGCATGGAGAACTTTCGAAAATGGAGAATTAAAATGGATCCCAAAGTATTTTGAATTTCAGACATGTATGGATGGATGGATGGATGGATGGATATACGGATGTATGGTTGGTTGGTTCGTTACTTGACTTGGATATGAAGTTCATGGATGATTTTACAAAGAGATCCATATCTTGTCATGAACTTGCGCAATTATTCATTGTTTGAATGTATTTGTATGTGGAATGAAAATCTAATCAATGATTACGTGGATATCTGTTTGAGTTTTCTTACTAATTATAGATGGGTCTAGTTCTCTTGTTTTCTCAAATTATTCAACCATCAGATATGTATATGAGTGAGTTCTTTTTACTTGGTGAAAACAATATAAAAAATGATCGAGTACTTTCTGATTTATTGTACAACTTGACAGCTTCCAGCTTCCCTTCATATTGACTGAATCAGTTTGAAATACCCAAAAGGATCAACTATTTGCCTATCAAAACCCTCAAATTTTAAAATAAACGATCCATCCTCTTCATCTCATTTCATCCAATAAAAGCCCAGCAATGTCTCTTAAATTCAAATAACCCCTCGATACTTTTCTCGTATTAATCCGATCGCATCAAAACTTCCTTGTTCTCTCATATCACTATGAACACCCCTCAATTTCTCTTGGCATCTATGTACACCTGAGTAGGTGGGTAGTAGGTAATAAATACAAATCATCTACTTAACCAAGTCGACATCACCAGTAATCCTACCTACCATCTGCATCTGACCAACCTCAAAGCCAACTTACTACCTTTCAGCCTTTTGAATTTGCAAAAACCGGATGCAGTGAAATAATTACATCAATATCAATTGCAAGTTCGCCATACAATGTTCAATGTTTCTACTCCGTAATCATCATGCAACGCCCATGCATCATGACATCCGTGCTGCACAGAGCTTGAACTCCGTAGTTAGTTTCTAGACCAACAGCTCCAAAATAATATAAATCAACCAACCAGCAGAACCTCTCAGCCAACAAGCCCCAATAATAATAATAACACCATCAAAATATCTTGAATCCCAGAAATCAATTCAAGAATCCGAAACTACCAACTATGCACACAGTATAAAAAATGTTTCCAAAAATATGCAAATCTTACTTACCTAATCAAAAATGCCATACATACCATACCATACCATACACAAAGAAAAACATGAAAACATCCCACCCGAACTCTTAATGTTACATACAGCACAGCCTCCTCCTTACCACCATCACATCCATACAAGAATAGATTACTTAATATCATCTCAATGCACCAATTTTGAGACATAATAGATGTCCACGAGTACGATGGTTCAAAAAGGTCAGTGATCCCACGAGGTCTGTTTTAGGTTTGGGCATCTTCTTATTTTTGGGGCCTTGGTTTGGGCTTTTGTTTGTTGTGATATATGTTGGAATGGAATTACCTACTCCGTAATGGATTTTGAGGTATTTGGAAATGTGATTGGAATAGAAAATGTCCTATTTCAGAAGAATGTTAGATAATCCTTTGCCGTTTTGAGAATCGGGAATTTTAACGGTACCTACGGAGGTGTCTGCCCTAATTTTTGTCACCGCCTTTTGCATGCAGAGATGGTAAAACACGTAAATCACCTCGATCCGCCTCAATATCATCGAGAAATCAAGCAAATAATATTGCCGGCAGAAAAAGCGGTGACAAAAATTAGGGCAGACACCTCCGTAGGTAAAGTAGCTGTCTAGCTCCTTCAGTATATTCATTCATCTTTCAGGTATTTTATACTCGAGTATCAGAAAATGAAACCGTAGTACAAATTGACATACTGTACTAGGTAGGTAGTTACATCTGTTTTTATTAATATATGCTATCCATCTCATTTATTCCCCAGGATCTAACTTGTTTCATCCCTATACTAACAAAATTAACACACACTGCGTAAACCTTCTCATGATTCCATATTACCAACACATGAATAAACAACCTTTTCTATACTCTGTAAAATCATCAAAACAACACCTACAACATAATAAAAACATCAAAAAATCCTCATAACTAACCATCATCTCTATCCCTCCACTTCACTCAAAATACCCGCATCCCCAACAACAAGGTAGGTTAATCACAACCCTTTCTTTCACCCCTAAAGATCGACAATAGATCAAACATCTCTCAAACCTTCTCACTCCCCCTCCCTTAACTCTTATCTCATCTTCAATACAACTCTTGTATCAAAATTCTATTTGTTTGTAAATCACTATATCACTTATTTTCTGTGTTACTAAATAGATACATACATACTGCGAGGATATGGTATATAGTACATACCTCGTATCTTTCTCGTAATATCTGGTCTTACAGAAATAAAAATCATATTTAATACTCAACTCGCCTAGTCAGCGCTGGGAATATCAAGTGATTGGGATAGGATTTGCGGGTGGGTAGTAGTGTTCGGATAATATTTCTATTTATTTGTTTATTTGTTTGTTTATGTATTTATTTCTCGATTCTGATGTACAGGAAGGAAGATATTTGTCCCGTAGTAGAGACTGATCAGTTCAGGGAGATCTGGGAGGAATTTTATTTTCTTCTATATACTGATTCAGTGTTATTGACTATCTAGTAATAATCTCTCTCTATCTATGTATGTATATCATATTCTGTCGTCAAGTTCCCTATCAATCGGGAATTTAGTCTATTGATCATATCATATCTATATTTCCATGTAGACTTTTTCCTGAAATAGACTTCATCTTTCCGATTCTGGTGATTAAACGTTACTTATTCCTTTTATTTTCTAGTCTTAGAATATTTACAATATTCTTCAGGTTTTTACTGTGCAATGGATTGCATAATCTTGAATATTCAATCTTCAATCTTCAATCTTCAATTCATATTCTCGGATTCATACTATGATATCCCTTTCGTTGCATCATCAACTTCTCGTCTAAGCTACCAGCACAAGCTTCTCGGCTGATAGGTGACGAATACCTACTCATCGCAAGCTGGTAAGCTAAAATTTCCTATCTCTCGTTTATTTAATATTCATCTATAAAGATGTATACTTTTCCTAAAACCCGAGACTCTCTCTCATCCGTTTCAATCTATGCATCATAAGTGCATATTTGTCTAGTTATTAATTCAAGAAACTTGTAATAAGGGATGTAGACTTGAACGACAGTAATATTCAATTAATAATCTTTTAGAGTTCCTAAAGATTTTTGATTTCTTTTGTATTTTAAAAAAGAAAAAAAGATTAATATTTATATACAATTTATAAGAAATTCTAAATATTCTTTTCCTTGAACTAAATTTACTAGAAATAGGGTATCTAATGTAGTAGCCTCAAATACAACCTCCAGTTTATTACCGGAATATCATGTGTTATTCTGTATTTCCGTGTGATAAAGCTAGCAATGAAATGTTGAGACTAGATCAGAGGCGCCCGAAGATGCCATCATACCTTTAGACTAAAGCTCAACCATAAGCAATGAGCACATCGACATGGTAATATACTCTCCTTCAGATGTCATTGTAAATAGTTATTAGTTATAACCGAACAGCATTCTCTAGAGAAACCCCACAACCAGTAATCTTATTGTATTCCAAATTCTAGATGAGGCGACGGCGTGTAATCAACCGCTTTACTTTTGGGAAAATTAAGAGGTTTGTATGTATATATCCACAATGAATATAAGTAGTATGCATATATACGATCTCCAAACAATATTGATGTTGGAGGGAAACCAAGTGACCCTAGGCCTCAATATAGAAAACTATGTGGTTCTCGATCCAGATCCAAGGCTTGCAAGTAAGCAATGCTGAAATCGTCTTTACTCGTTATCATGAAATGAGCATTTTTATTTATTTATTTATTTATTTATGTTAAAAGGAATGACCTCACACAGGGAATAGTGGGAAGCTGATAGGGCAGAACTGAGGCTATATTGGCCTTCTATATGAATCACACATTATCTTAGTTCTACGGAAGTGCGAAGCTCTCCTACAGAGAGCTTCTCAATCTAGTCCTAATAGGACTAGTGCCCTGTGCACGTGCTACGCAGGAACCATTCACTTTAACATATACCTTAGTGTTACGAGGTTTGCCGTCTAGATCACGTGGAAGTGCTCTAGGCTCTCGAGGTGGTTTATAACTAGGCGTCAAGCAGGGACTTAAGTAATGACAATAATGAAATGCAATTCGTAACTAATAGTAGGATATACTAAATGATTGATCTTGAGCACGAAGCTCTATACAAAGGAAATCCATCTTGATTATATAGACCATCGTGGCATGCGTCCCAGTGCTCCCAGTTGTCCCAGTTGTACTGGGACAGCTGAGCCTACTGGGATCCTCATATCACATGATGCTAATCACGTGATGTTAGGTATTTGAGATCCGTCGTAACAGTAGAATGTAGGTAAACTAATTGATAACTAAGTTGAGCACGAAGCTCCTATACTATGAAAATAATGAATGTTTATATACTGGTCCTTTCCAAGAGCCTGCAGTAGCCTGGAGGAGCCTTGAGGAGCCTATGCTCCTGGAGGCTCCATCACGTGATCCCTACTTGTTCGACGTGATGGTGAATCGTGACAGTAAATAAGAAAATTATAGAGGTTGATTTTCGTTGTTTTTGATGTGAAAAGATGGCCGAGATTAGAGGTGGCTGAGAAGTGGGGTACTAGACTTAATTAGGAATACTTCTATATAATTAATATTTAGATACTTAGTAACTACCTAGCTATGATAGTAATTATCAATGAATATTAAATTAAAAGATATCGAGGATTTTGAAGCTAAAGAGAGGGAGCTAAGGGTTTAAATACCTGTAGGAGCGCATTGTCATGATCACTCGTTCTATTCAGCATCCAGTGTTCAATATCCAAAATCGGAAGAAGTATATACACATGTATATCTTTACACAGAAGTATATATCATATACATACATCCTATTCCTACTTGCTGTAATATTCTTGTTACTTTCTTACTTGGGAGTAAGAAGAGTAGACAAGATGGCCGGTGAGTAAGAGGTGAAGTGGAGTAATTGCAAGTAGCTGTACATAATTGCAAGTAACGTAAGTCATGGCGTAATGCGTCTAATGGCGTAATGCGTCTAATTGCGGGGAACCACTCTATTAAAATCTCAATTACTCAACAATCAACTATAATACAATCTCCAATATCACTTTCAGATTCATCTTCAACTTCTTCTCCAATATCCTCTTCAGTTTCAGTCTTATATTCAATTACTTTCCCTTTCCCTTTTCCTTTTTTCATTGTCTGTACTTTAGTAGCTTTTTCGGCTTCCACTACTGCATCACATAATTCTTGCGTAGAAATATGAAAATGACCCTTCAAAACTAGTCTCTTTCCTTTCTTACATATCATACGTTTCTTCATAATAGCTCGTAAATTATTCGCATCGTGTTGGTGAACAATACTTTGAGCTCGAAGTTGCTCACTCCCAATCGTCAATTTTCGAATGTATTGACGAACCGGGGTTGAAAGAGTTGTATCATTTTCAATTGTTGAATTTAAAAGGTTATTTGCTGTTTGTAAGATTGCTACATCTGGGGGTGAGCTATTGACGAAGACTTGATTAAAAATATCAAATTGGGTTGGTTCTTTGGATATTTCGACTTCGGGGGTAAACTCTCGACCCAGTGTACGGAACACTCTCTGTGGATTAAATGGATGTAACCCAGCTCCCCGCCATGCCGATTCGATATTTTGATGATGGCATACATCGGCTCGAGCTTTAATATATGCCTCCATCCATTCAATCTTTTGTATTCGTACAAGTTGAGCTTGATTCAAATCAGAAAGTGCTGCGGTGAGCCGTTTTTTCAATGGACCGAAAACCGCAACATCAAGTGGCTGAAGCAAATGCGAGGTATGAGGAGGAAGTATAAGAAGTACAATTCGATTTTGAAGACAATGAGCTATAAAGCTTCCACTAATATGAGAATCGTGGCCATCGCAGATGAGAAGCCGATATTTGCCATCTGCTTTTGCACGAGTTGCAGGTTCGAAAACGCGTTTTAGCCATTCTAATCCATGAAGATTGCTTGTCCAGCCCTTTGTATTTGCTGAAAAGAACCAACTACCAAGAACTTCCTTCGGAATCCAATTTTGAAGGACGTTTTTACCTTTAAAAATCCCGAGTGGTAAAAGAATGAATCCATCCACACAAATACACTCTACCATTGAAATCCACTCTTAACAGCCTGAATATGCTTGATATTTTGTACAAAGTGTAGAATCGATAATAATTCGGGTTGATTCCATTGTCCCAATTGAATGTCCAGATTCATCCATATTGTATTCGTCTTTCTTCTCAATTCCATAATCCTGAATCGCTTTTTGATACACGTCAAACCAAGTACTACATGTTTCCCTGGTTGCACCATCCATTCTTACAGATTCAATTCGACGGCCAATAACAACTGTAAGATGAGGATGTCGTTTGATAAATCGTGGAACCCATTCATAACCAAGAAGGTGTTGTGGTAGAAGTTCAAGGGAGTCAAATGAGGGGCAATCCAAATTATAAGTCCGTTTTGAACGTAACTCCTCAGCCAATTCTTTTAACAACTGATGGCCTGGTGAATAGCCGCTAATTGTCAATTGCTTTATCCACTTAAGAAGTACATTCTCTTGTACAGCAGAAAGTTTCTGTTGCGATTGACGTGCTTCAGAACGCGATGAACCCCCTTTGACGCGTCGCGTCACAGTATCTTTAGGAAGCCCCAGTTCTTTTGCAGCTTCATATGAAGACTTATACTTTCCATTTTGAACTCCTAATACTGCTTCAGCAAGTCGAGATTCCATTTCCTGCACTTTTAAACTTTTTCGACGGACCATTGTTGAATTGTTGCTTTTTTGATGGGGTGGTCCCCCACAATTAGACGCATTACGCCATTAGACGCATTACGCCATGACTTACGTTAGCCGTACATAATTAGAGAGCAAGACTTTCAAAAGTATCTGGTTCTACAACAATATAAAAATTGTTTTTGGGCTTTAACTCAACGCCAATACTCAATGTATAAACTATTTACTACCCCGCCTCATTTTATCAAAAAACATTAATTGATGTTAAGGAAACAGCAATGCTTCCTATTTTCACCAATCACCCCGGAGGCATAGTTAGCCACCTCGCTCAAGTATAGTCTCTAATAATCCTCCTCCCGCCCTTGAGCTCCTGAATGATCAGCATGGACTAAAATGCATATGGTAATAAGTCTTACTTCTTTATCTTTTCAATACCAACCATGTTTATAAATACTTCACATTAACATTGTTGATGGTATAGAGATCTAGATTTAGAGTTCAGTGTAATAATAAATAGTTGGACTTTGAATATGTATATAAACAATAAACATACTCGAATAGATAGATATTCTCTGTTCGGGAAGGCTATATTATGATGAAGTGATGTTAACGTTCTAGATGCAATTGATGTTGTATTTTAGAAAGATCTTTTTTAAAAAAAGAGATGAATATTCGAATTCCTAATATCAAGCATTAAGAAAATCTATGAAGCATGATCATCATAACTTTATAGATAGTAAGCCAGTTACTTGATTGTTCAATATCTAAGGTTCAATGTCTAGATATATATCCTGAAGTGCATTATATTATACAGAGACTTCTAGTGGAACATCGGAGACCTCGCATCGAGTCTCCCATACATTGTAAAATAAGGGAAATACCTAGAGCAATCCGGGTACTCAATCTAAAAAGATGAGTATTAGGTCCCCTAAACGGAAATCTTTTTCTTCTATCGAATTGTTATAGGACCTCGGAGGAGAATAAGTTCGAGCTTCTTTTATAATATATCTATTATTATAGATAAGACAGACAATACACTTACTTCCTTTTATATATCACATGCAAACCCTCCTACAATCATCCTATATCACTAAAAATTTACTAATCTTATCTTTCAAACCCTTTAAACCTTATACGATTAACCACTCCTTACTCTACTCTCCGATCGATTTCTTTCTACAACCCAGAATCCCTAACACCTCTACATATTTATATTCATATTCATCCTTCAATAATATCTACAGATCTTTACATTACTCTCATCCCAGGGTATTCCATAACCTTACTGTATTACTAATACAAGAAGGAATACTTCAAGTATATATATATATTGTTAAAAGGAATGACCTCACACAGGGAATAGTGGGAAGCTGATAGGGCAGAACTGAGGTAATATTGGTCTAGTAGGTAAATCTCTCTTCTAAGTTCTACGGAAGTGCGAAGCTCTCTGTAAGAGAGCTTCTCAATCTAGTCCTAACAGGACTAGTGCCCTGTGCACGTGCTACGCAGGAACCATTCACTTTAACATATATATCTATTTAAGTTTCCTACCCGTATATATAATACATACAAATAGAAAGTCCACTAAAACCGAATTGTCATATGTCACACTCAAGAATACTGGGTAAAGTATCTTGTATTAGAAAATACTAAGCTAAGGAGAAAAGAAGAAGGAAAACAAGAGTAGAGAGTTTTCCTATGATTAAATACAAACGGGGCATGCCACGTGACCCGGAGGTGTGAGGCGTCACATCATATATATCTAACCAACCCTAATACTTTATAAAAAAATCTAATAATTTATATAAGTATTTACTTTATATACTTATCTTATATAATAGTATATCTATTTAATATTATATTCTTTGTTCATTTTATCTCACCTTCATCGAATTCTTAAAAGCGATATATATATATATATAAACAAATAAATATTTATATACAAATGCAAAACTACTATAGTATATAATAATAAAACTAAGTTCCTAAATCAAGTTCCTGAAATTAGTCTGTCGAATCGTAAGATCTTACTTCATAACTCCATGTAATTATACTTTTCCGTTTATCTTCCTGTAACGATACTGTACCGGAGGCAGCGGCTGCCTGAGGTTTCGTCTGATTGGTAGTTGTGGGTTAAGGCTTTATCACTAGTCTTCACTTGGAAGTGAAGTCGTTACTAGATCAAGTAGAATGTAGGTAAACTAATTGATAACTAAGTTGAGCACGAAGCTCCTAAACTATGAAACTACTCTGACTATATACTGAACAATAAAGGGGGCCCCTAGGAGCTTTCTGGCTCCTCAAGACTCCTTATCACGCGATTTCTGATGGTGCGTGCGCATACGATCTTCAGGTGACCAAGATCACATACTAATTCGATGAAATCTGATCGTGTTTGCACACGGCCTAAGCTCTCCTAATTAATCAGTTTGCTACCATCGTAACACCATCAATCCTAATGGTGAATCGTGACACTTCCCTCCTATCTATACAAACCACCCTCCCCACTAATGCTCCCAGCAACCCACCATCCCATTTCCCGCACCCCGTCTCTAAATTCCACCCACCCATCAATCAAAAAACCCGAACAAACCAAAAAAAATAAAAAAATAAACCCACATTCCAAACCTCCCCCTCTCTCCTCTCCCATCACGTCACACCAAATTTTCCATTCGTAAACTCCCCTCTATAAAAAAGATCCCTCTTCCCTCCTCTCTCTCCTTCCCCATCAAAAAGTCCCAAAAAATCCCAAAAGAAATCCAAAAAAAAGGAATGTTCCGAATCCGGGAATCGAACCCGGGGCTACTCGGTTCCTGTGTATGAAAGCGAGTTATGTTAACCCCTACACTAATTCGGATGGCGTTATCTGTTGTTTTTTGATGAATAAACCTTTGGAGCTTAGATATATATATCAAATGAATTTTCGTTCGTGTGTTTGTGTGGGTTAGTGGGCCTGGTGGGTGGGGATGTTTGGGATGTTGGATGTGGAGTAAGCTTAAGAGTGGCGAACTAGTTGTGATAGGTAGGGGGGAATGAATATAGAGAGAATGAGTATAGTATACCCTACTCTATATAGAAAAAGTAATCAGTAATTTATTAATCGCGATTAGTGTGTGTATATTATCTATTTTTAGGATTATAACTTGTATACATTTCATTTATTAAAATATTTATGTTATAAAAACAATTATTTATTTCTTTATTTCCTTCTTAAACTCCTGGATATTATTTATTTCCTTTTCCCCTTTTAGGTTTTTCTCCTACCGTCCCAATATATATTAAACTTCTCTCTCTTCTTTCTAACACCCATCACCCATCATTCATCCATTTAACCCATTATTAAATATTAGTATCTACCCAGGCTCGGTCCATCAACCACTCTCATTCGTGAAATCATAATCCGTCATCATATCCATCCCCAAATCACATCACAACTCAAATCCTAACCTCCTCACCCTTCTCCCTTCCATTAACATCTCTATCAACCTCCCCATTTCCACTCACACTCCCACTCCCTGCCTCCTCTTCATCCCTTGGTCTTTGCTGTACCGGAAAAACCGGTGCAAATTTACTCTTTCTCCTAATCCTCTCCCCATAAATATAAAAACAAACAGGTATCGGTACTAATACCAACGCTACACAACCCAATAATGTACCAGCCCAATTAATTCCCAAAGCCTTAAACATATATTGTGAGAACAGAGGAAATCCAGCTCCTGCCAATGATCTCAAGAATGTATTTGCTGCAATAGCTGAAGCAGCAAACATAAGATATGCATCGACAAGATAATTAAGACTTTGAAGAAAAATTGCCAAAAGTCCAAAACCTGTTAAAAGACCAGAAAGTGTAGGAACAATCCAATGAATATCAGCTTTATAACCTGACCAACCGAACCAAAAGAGCCCTGCTGCGAAACTTACACCTCCTGCGATCACAGGTGGAAGACGCCATTCTGGAATTGGAATACCGTTGTTTGCTGCAAGTTTTCGATTATATGATGGTTGAGTTGAAGCGACGTAAATACCGGCGATTATCATTCCGATGATCATACCAAAGTATGGAAGACCACCTACACCACCAGTAAAACCATGGATTTGTTGAAAGACGATTGGATAAGCTGTGAGGAAGAGGTAAAGGAGACCGTAGATAAATGCCATGTAGATGGAAATAAGAAGAACGATAGGTTCCGTAGCTAAAAGTCTCAAAGGACGAGAGAAATTCTTAGTAACTAATTCACGGAAATCAATCTCGATTTCTTCTTGTTTAGCGTGAATTCCCCAATTCTTCGTTCTTCTTCTAAGTTCTGCTGCTTTTTCGATCAAGATAACTGGTGGATACGTTTCGGAAAGGAAGAAGAAATCCAAGATGAATGCTGTGAAACCCATTATAGCAGCTAACCATTCAGTCCAACGCCATCCAAGATGAGACTCTACTATGAATCCACCAATAAAAGGGGCGAGAAGTGGACCGGTAAATACAGTCATCGAAAAGACAGTAATAGCAAGTCCTCTCGTTTTATTATCGAACATATCCGAAAAAACTGCAGCAACAACTGCTAAAGGAGCTGCACCAAAAATACCTATTTATCAGATAAATTAGAATGTTCCAAACTCAAGCGAAAAAAGGTATACACACCTCCCCAAAATCTACAAATCAAAATTGTTTGTAAATCCTTTGCAGCGGCAACTGCAACCTGAAAGATAGAAAATCCAAACATAGATAGAACAATCGGTAATCTTCTTCCTTTCAATTCCGATAGTGGTGCCCATAAAATAGGTCCAAAAGCGAATCCTAAAACATAAAACGATAATCCTAATATTCCAACTTCTGTTGAAACATTGTATTGCGCAGCTACAACTCTAGTTGCTGTTGAAAAAATACTCGATGTAAATGCTGATACTAATGTTGTATATCCTAACATTACTGCTGTGAGGATTCTATTGGAAAGTCATTAGCTTCATTCTCATTGAAGTACTAGAAACTACTCACTTCTTCCTCATCGGCCAATTAACCGCATGCAATGGATCATCCGGACCATCAAACTCTACTACGTACTCATCTCGAGCAGGTAATGCAGGCGGATATTCCTTTCCTAATCCCATTAAAGGTAATGGTTTCTCTTTCGTACTGAATATCCTTCCAATCTTACTACTCTTCCTAGAAACACTTCTTCCTACCGTCCCTGAATGTTGCGAACGTGCAGTTTGAATCCGAGATATCACAGTTGGATGACTTTCTAAATCTCGTTGAGTAGGAGCTCGAGAAATTGTGGGACGACGTGAGGAGGCATCGGATGAAGTGGTCGAGATAGAGGATGCGGTTGGGATACGTTCAATTTCGTGGGAGGGATGGCGAGGTACAGGGGAATGAATTGGTGATTCGATGGAAAATTGTTCTGGGGAAGCATCATGCTCAGCGCGCACTACTTCTCGATCTGCCTCATTCATGGCTGTGACTTTGTGGTTGTTCTCAATTGATAGTTGTAGTTGTGGTTATGGTTGTAGTTCTTGAGGTATGAAGAGATAGCTTATCAGACTTTGACTAGTCTAGACCTTAAACAATGATGACCTCAGTGTTTAATTGGCGTGTATATTTCATATGAATGAGTGAAGAAATGAAAAAATAAGAAGACAGAACAAAGGAACAGAAAATATATATTCAATTGGAAAAAAAAATCACTCGGAGAATAAAAATATCTTCACTACCTACCATTGCATAAAACCTGTCGTGAGGTATTATCTAGCTTGGTAATGTGAGAAAAAGAAGGTAGAACCTTCTTAAGCCCCAGCAAAAAGCCTTAACCTTAATCCTTAACCCGAACAAACCTTTTGCCATAACTCCATATTCGGTAAAGTCAGATACCGAAGTTAATTTTACGTTTTATGCCCACGAGGCGCTAGATCCACATAATCCACTATCGGACCATTACCATGGGTATATACGAACGTTTTTGATGGGTCCGTTTAGCTGGGCCTGTCAATGAGTGATGTTTACTGAACAGACAACCTCTAGAATCATTTTTCTCCTCTCCGAATCTATTTCCTATACTAATCACTTGAATTCATGTCATGTTACAAAGTACACTAGCAAAGCCTAGAATACTACATGTCATTGTACGAATATATCTAATTAACAGCATAAATTCCTTACAAATAAAGATTGATGAGGTCTTAGCTTATCCATCAAACCTTACCTACGTACTTTACAATACGCCTATGTATGTTGTGTGACATGAGGTATCCGGACTTATCGCTCTCTCTTTCGCTTTTCTCTGAGATTTCGATAGAGGGATAGGATAATACCTAGTAGTCATACGATGTTTACCCTTCTCACTCTAACTTATCAATTCAGCTCTTACATACCCTTCTCATCACTCCCAGCATCATCATACCACTCTTCTATTGTCTTCCTTCTCTTCCTATCAACCTTCCCATACACCTCCCCTCTTACATATCTCCTCTTACTTTTCACTCCTCTCTCACCTTCAAATCACCGAAACCTTTCCATCCCATCTATCACCATTCATCATCCATAAAAGTAAATCCATAAATCCATAAATCCCAAATACTGTTCCGCTCCGCTCCGATCCGATCCGAATACTTACACACAATATCCAGGCGCAGCTCCAGCCCAGCCCAAATGATCCTCCGCCCAGCCAACCCCAAAACCGCCCAGACGGCAATCGGCATATAAAGTTAAAAAGTTATAAACATACAGTACCTACCTAGAACCTACCTATGAAAAACCAAAAGCCAATCTGGCCGTAATACTAATCATCCCATCTATCCAGCTCCAGCCTACCTACCTACCTAACCTACCGGACCAACCCACTATCCCGATTCCCGGGAGCTTAACTTTCAACACCTAGATATCTAGGTAAAAAATTAAGTTTTAAACTTCCAAACTCTAACCTCTCAAACCTTAATAAAGATAAGAAACTTCAAAGGGTCTACACCTACGTACCTACATACCTAGGTCCTATGATGATGTAAAAATGATATAAGTGGCGCTTATCAAGCCATCTCTACTCCTTTACCCCTCTACTTTATTCCTCTATCCATCACCCACAACACACACAACATATATATATCTACCTCATCTTCTACCACCACCTTCAAATTCCCCCCATCCCTCAATCCCATTCTCATCATCATCCCTCAAAACTCCCCATCCCCAATCCCATCCATCTAGAACTAAATACTCACACCTACCACCACCCAACAACCAAACACCATACCCCTCAACTCGGCTACACCAGGTTATCAACGGCTATCCATACATACATCAGTACAGCTACACCAACACAACCGATGAATCCAGTTATTTAAATTAAATTTAATTCTTTTAATCCTTTTAATCCTTTTAATCCTTTTAATCCTTTTTTTTTCCTTTTCTTTTTTTCCTTTCCTGTTTTTTCTTCGAATTCTTTCTTTGATTATCGATATTTTAGATTTTGAGGTAATTAATTGAAGCGGTGAGAACGAGTAAAGATTTTGATATTGATGTTGATATATACTAGATTCCTTTCCTAGTGAGATGGAATTGAAAGTCCGAGGGGTGGGGAGGGGGAAGGGCAGATAATTCTATACTTTCAAACCATATTAATATCATATCATAACATATCAGATTAGTAAATCAACTATAAGGTTTATATATTTTAATTTCTTCTCATCTCATCTCATCTCTAATTTGTAACTTTGTTCTACAACTACAATACACCTACTATCTTATCTGCCCTGTATTGCCTTGGCACACTCACTTGATATAAAACCTGCATCTTCATCTTCATCCATATCGCTATAATTTATTTCCATTTTTCCCTTTCCAATGCCGTCCCCCACTACACCCGTCCTCAATCATACCGTGTCAATGCATCAACTACTCTTTCTTAACCACCCCTCCTCAAAACACCAATTTCAAAACGCCCATAGAATAGCACACCGTGGAATCTTCCTTATACTGACATAGCTCGCTTTCATTTGCCACGCAAAAAAAACAAGAAAAGCCGTAGTGAAAACACTATAAGAAACGCTTATGTCAAGAACTATGCAACCGGTCCAAAGGAAAATGCCCAATTCCTATTAACGCCTTGCTTGAATATAAACAAACACTGTTTGCGCCTTCCATGAAAAACAAACATGACAAAGTCATGTAAATGTTAGAACTAGAGTCCAACATCCCATTCCCTGCATTGGCCCCTCAAGACATGATACTGAAAAATCCTCAAATACTGTAATCATGGGTTGAAAATGCAATTTCCGTTCGCCATCGTGGTATCGTATTTTATCATAGCTCCATAGCAGGATCAGCTTCTGAGACCTCCTCGATCATTTCATCTGCTTCTGCCACTTCTTCAACCGCAGGATCATCAACACCCTCAAGATCTGCATCGGCTTGCGTCATCCCATTCTGACGCTCCCAAACCTCTCTTCTAATCCGCGCATCTTTTGCAATTCTTTGTCTTTCAACTTCCTCAAAGCCTCCAGATTTCTTCAATTTTCCTTCTTCAACGAATTGGGTCAGCTCCTTTTGAAGCACGTTGCCTCTACGACCTTCAAGTTCCTTTTGACGAAGCTTTTCTGCACGTTCGATAGCTTCAAGGCGATTCTCGTGATTTGGTTGTAAGGCACGAACTTCGTCTAGAACACCTTCTTTTGCCATAGCAGGATCGATTGGATCAATACGGTTAAGCTTAGAAAGACTTCGACCAGTACCAACTTGACTTGGAGATCCATCCTTCAATTGTTCTTTAGTAGCTTGTTCCACAAGTGCAAAGGTTTGTGCTGCCTTCTCCAAATCATCTTGAAGATCTGCTGCAAGATCTTCTTGCATAGTAATCTCTTCACGATCATTACAGACTGTCTCTAATTCCTTCTCCCAAATCTTTGTCCAAATTGGCCTCTCTCGTTTCAAGAAATCTTGCATCCTCTTGAGTTCCATCGTAGCCTGTGAGATATCCTTGGCCACAGTCTCCAATTGCTTAGGAAGAGGTCGTACACCACGTTGTACAACATCCTTTCTTAGATCTTCAACAATATCTTGAAGATCATCAACTTGCGCAACCAATTTATCGGAATCTTCGCTGAGGTTCTTCTTTCCACCATTGACATAAGAACGTCCGGAATCGCCATTGATATCTGGAATAGCAGCTTTAACAGCAACACTCTTGACAGAGCTAGCCTTTGAGCGAATCAAAGCCATGGAACTTTGAATGTCAGATTGAAAGCTAGAATATGTTTGTCGGAGTACCGCAAGATCACGACGAAGGCTCTGAATTTCAGTAAGTTGCGCTTGGCCATTGACTTTCGAGGGGCTAAAGCTATTGCCATTGGTGAGTCGTCCAGTATCAATCATTGAAACTCTTGAAGAGACAGGTGGTGCAGAAGCAATTCGAGCCATTTCTTTTGCAGCATCTTGTTGACGATCCGAGACTCTCTGAATGGTAACTTGCTGATCATCAACTGCTGTTTTGACACTCTCGACCATTTTCTTCAATCCTCCTAAACTATCATCAATGTGTCGCTTGACTTCATCTAGTACCTCCACATTTAATACGAGTACAGAACGATCTTTGATATCATGAAGATCTTCCAGTTCATGACGAACACCAGATACTGGATCCTGTATATATATCTCAGGTAGATCAACCCCATTATTATGAGTGTTCCAGGCGAACTTTTCAATGAAAGCCAATTGCAATCTTGCCATGGATAAATCCTTGTACCCATCAGCAAGGACAAACTTCTTGACCTTGGTTTTGTATTGTAGGAAAATTGTAATTTCCTTGTCCGGTGGAGGTGGTGATCCTTCAGGTGTGAATTGTCTTGCTTGACTACCGTAACTGGGACTTTCTCTTTTGCTAGCAGATCTCCTGTGTACGGGAGCTTGAGGAGGTTCAGTTGCAGCCTTATTTTGATCTTGATCTTGATCATCAAAGTTTGGAAGCACATCAGAAGTTGGCCCATTGAGACTTGAACTTGGTCCATCATAATCTATAAAAGGTTGTCTTGACTTCTCTTCTGAAGTTTTGGGTGTTGGGCTGTCACTTGAGGGTGGTTCGTCTGGCTGCTGAAATGAGGTCTCTTGGCTTTCCTCTGCGATCACACTTGGCTTTCGAACTGGAGATGCATCATTTTGAATTAAACGGGAATTTGTTCGACCAAGACGGTGATCACGATTTTGAACAGCTCTCAAAGATTCTCGAGCATCATTGCGCCCTCTGTTTGGTATTGGCGAATTCTGTGGAACGGGAAGCATTGGAACCCCATTTGGAGATGCACCAACAAGTTTTGAGATTTGGTAAGCGGAATAACGCCTCGAGGCTCTTCTTTCCAAGTCCCCACCTCTTTGTAGAGCTACCAATGCAGCATTTGTCTTCGGTGGCGGAGGTGGTGGTGGAAAATTGTCAACAGTCAAATGATCAGTATCATTTGGACGTGGCATTGGCACAGTGACTTCATCTCCAGGATAAGGTGGGACAACAGGAATGCTTTGCATTGTCGTGCTTGACAGTGTAGATTGGTCTGAAGATACTGAGCCTCGAGATGAATCTCTCGGTGGAGGAGCAGCTCTTCTGTTTGATGATCCTGAGGCTGATGACATTCGTGGAGGGATGGCCGAGTCAGTGGTGGACTGCCCTTTGCTTCCTCGGTCATTTGTCGAACCTGAGTCTCCTTGAAAATTATCTTCCAACCCTTGATTGAGCAGTGTGGTTAATCCGGTGCTGTTACTGGCAATGCTACTGAAGCTTCCATTCCTAGGTATGGCATCTCCATTTTGTGCTCCGCTATCTCTCCCTTGTTTCTGCCGCAGTTTCTGTTGCTTTCGCTTTAAACCGTGAAGAAGAGTGATGATTATATCTCTGATTCGAGGCAAGTATCTTTCCAAGCTCTCGACGCTTGCCTCTTGGCTGAGTGTGGATTCCAGTATATGTCGAAGTAACTCCGGTACATTTCCTAAATCCGAAGTATCAACATTGATTGCAGTAAACGCCCTACAAGCAATGTTGAACTCATATCCCAAGCGCACATAAACATCTGAAACTTGTGCATCGGTCGCTTGATGTCGAGACCATTGTGTAAGGGTTTCGAGGAGTTGCTTTGTGGCGACCAGAAGATGTGTTACACTCCTTTCGATCTGAGATAATGGTGGGGCATGTTGACCACTTTGACTACCACTGCTTGTCGGAGGTTGGCCACCCTATGAGCGAACGATATTAGCACCGGATTCTATTTGAGAATTCATTGTCGCAATTATGAATAAGATATTCCAAGCGGATCGCATCACTCACGTTTTGTCTTCTTCCCGAATGATTGCTTTGAACAGATCTGGTTGAAGCAGTTGAATTCCTCGGCTGAGGACCCAAACTTGGAGATATGGACCTAGCAGATATTGTAGGTGGTGGTCCAGGTGAATCTGATGCCGGAGATCGTCTTTGAACAGGTCGTTGAGGTGCTTGCATTTCTGCGACCGATCTATTTACTGATATCCTGTGGAAAGTTGAAAGGAGGATTTAGCAAAGAGTCAGCGCCCCATGCACAGTGTGTATGTATCTTGGAGTCACCAGTGTCGTTCCGAAATTTCAATGCCAATAAGCGCGCTCTTATGAATGAAGGTGGTGAAGAATTCGCAGCAAATACGTGAATCCTTTTGGTTGCAGTAAAAGTATTGTATCAATTCAGTCCAATCTACACGGCAGGTAAGTGCCTCATGCAAGTGTGCCAGATCACGCTAGTTATTAGCCGAAAAGTTTTAATCAGGTGGTGAAACCTTCTGGCTGGGGAAAGTCTGAGTGGCCCGAGCTCTTGGAGATCAAATGTCAAAGGGTTGAATGGGTTGTCAAGTGGAAATTTGGAGAGAATGTCAATGTAGGCGCCTACCTAGGTGAATGAGATTACCTAATAATAAGTATTGCCGTATCATGGATAAGTTTCTGCCACACAAAGAAGCTTGATGTTAAAGTCCAATGCCCATGTATACATTGCAAACATTTAAATCTAGTTTGGATTTCCATTTTCAGACATCTATAAAACAAGGATTACCCTTGCCATTCCCATTCCTATTTTGTTCATTTTACGAAACATTTTATATTACCAGACCAACCTCTTAATTTTGACAACGATAATGATTACATTTGAAGAGAGTGCCTTTTTCAACACCTATTTTCGCATATATAGTGAGTGAGAGTTTGAAGATATAGATGGGAGAAAGAGTCATATACAATCTCAAAGGGTTGATTGGTTACCCCCCTTTTCATTGGGCGAAACATAGCGAAACAGCCTAAAGGTGACCATCGTCATATCACTTGGTTATTCATGATGAATGCGAAAAGAAGAATTACACCAATAGTACAAGTCGTCCTCCAACCGGGTGATGTTCGAGGTATGTATTCTCTGGCCTTTAGTGGACTTCTTCCTTTACACCAATTATCCATCCTTCAGGTCACTTCTCAATTTCAACAAATAAGAGAGATTCTCGGATTCGAGTCTACCTCTTGAAGCTACTCAAGCACCGGTAGATATATGATGCTAACCAAGGATAATCTAGATTTATACCCACAAGCAAGGCATGAGGTATCAGATGGCACTGCACCTGAGCAACAGTTCGGATATTTTTCATACCGCGCGGCAATGACAGATATTCAACAAACTCAATTCCGTCTAGGTCGCATCCCGAGATCGTGGAGGAATGCAAACCTTTCTTTGATTGGCTAATAACTCGAACCCCAGTGCAAACGAAGATAATACATGAGGCATGTCTCAACATTTTTACGAGAGGTTCGTTGATAGATTGATAAACTCGATTATAACCTAGATATTGATTATGGACATTGGACATTGGACCTTTCAATTCGACACTTCTTTTCCTACCTCCACAATGTCACCCAAAACCACTGTTGTGTGGTTGAGTTCCAAATCATCAAGAATCCGTCCCACTGAATTTGTATGTGAGAGGAGATAAAAACCAAAAAAGTCCGGTCGCACTCAATCATTCCGTGCAGGTGTTCCAACTCATGTAGGGATTCGAAGCTCAGACCCGTGTTACATACATTCTAATATCTATGAAAGCGCTCGGGACATTGAAGAGGAGGATGGGGAACAACCAAAAAGGCTTGGATCGCCCTCGTTAGGAACAGGACCATTTTTACAAAGGAAGCGCCCTCGACTTTATAATAGAAGTGTGAGAATCCCATTGTCAAAGGGCTTGAGTTGGATTCGAATAAGTCATTGTTGGATATCCCATGGACTTAAGATTTCGCAGCTTTGTAGATCATTCCCTCCTTTTCAATACCTCGTTAATTTCTCAACATAGAATGTACATACTATATACCCTTCTTAATACCTCTCTATAGAATCCCTTGAAATAAATATAGAACATACAATATCCATTGTTAACCTCATCGGCTTTTATATGCAAGTAAGCCTGCACACCGAGGAAGATTATTGTACAATCGTTACAGTACATCTCATACCAAGATCAAAGGATATTCGTATATGTGACCGACGCGAGAGGCCCCAATGAACATTTCCTTCCCCTTTGTTGAATCAGATTATTGAATTCACATATTTACATTTATTTTACTTTACTCGGTCTAACCAGAAAGCCTTTATTAGTTTATTCCTCATTACTACTCAATGGGTAGCTAATACTTTGTTTCTTCTCCCTTTCACATTGGAAGAAACAAGCCTCCATCCGATAATCACCCCTCCCAAATTGACACATTTCCCAGAGATCTGATTTCATGTGGCCGTAATATCTACAAGGCGCACAATTAAAATACCATCAAACCCCCATAAACCCCCATTTGGATTAATGCTCCCGTCCATCGACACTAGGATACCGTATCTACCGGATCCCCGAGGTATTAATAGCATGGAAGTAGGAGGAGAAGGCTCAATGATTAATGAAATCTGATGGATTTTTCTATCGTGGTACAGCGAACTACCTTTTTAGCATCAAAGAAATATATCAGTATCTAAAATAACTACTGTATTGTTCTAGCTTCTAGATTATTATTTTGCTCCGATAATAGGTAGGTATCGATCTTAAATACGGTGGTCGACATCTGACAATTTGGAAAGCAAGGCAAGCATTTCAATGGGTTGTCATCATTATCAAAATCAAAGTCATTTATTATAATAATTCACTTGTCACCCATTGTCAACGTCAACTTCTTTTCTGATCTCTATCCAGCCTCCGCCTCTTCCTCCTTCTCCTCCTCTTCCTCCTCTTCCCTTTTCCAATCTATAAAAAAATACTTCTTTTCTCTCTTTTACTACGTGAAATTTCATGGATAATACAAGTCCTTGTTATTGTTAATAAGATCGAGAGAATCCACCAGGTACACACATACAACCACCACCAAACCCGATAGATTAACCACGAGCTACCTATCTTAACAACTTCTTTCTCTCCCTTGATCTATTTTTTAGAGACCCCAATACTTTTTTCCATTTTTCCTCCTCACATTCCAGCGGGGAGTAAGAATAGTAATATCTTCTTCTACTTCTTGTTTTCCTCTTATAATAATTCTTGTGCTTGGACAACCTACAGAAGCTTACCTACCTAGTCCAAAAAGAAATCCGCGCTATTCTTGACAAGCCAAAATACCCCATTCGCTTGACTGCATCATTTACCTACACTCCAACCTACATCCTCCACCTCCGAACCTCTTCAGAAATTCTAATAATTTCCCCTCTTCTCAAGGATCACCCACAACCCAACACACTCATAACTTTCGAAAATTAGCTGATCTGTTACGATATACTGTAATCATTTTCAGCGATTGCGAAAGGGAGAGCAGTGGAGGTCTCTTTTTTTCTTTAAACAATAGCTTTCTATCCGAGGTGAGACAAAATGTCCTGACTGCACTTTACAACAACAACAACAAGAACCCAGCCTTTCTTTTTGACACGATTAAGCTTGGAGCTTTCGCAATCAACTGAACCACCACATCACAATTCAGTCTCTGGCCTGCAACTGTGCATGACTTTGTATTCATGCTAATCACATTCCTTTTAAATAGAAATTTATTCTTGACAAGGGTCGATTCCGATATTGAGACCCCAGATTCATCAAGAATCTCCCAGCCTTGACGGACGTACACATTGGCGCGATTTTAGAGATCAAAGGAAGGGGTGTGTTTGGAGATTTCCGTTTAAGTGGTACGTATTTTGATTTTTCCCCTCCTTGATTCTTCCAACGTTTTTCTTTTCTTTAAATCATTCAATGATTGACCGCATGGTCGATTGAGTAATTGCGCATTCATTGTGCGTTGTGTAACCCAATGCCGAATCAGACTCAACTTGACTTGACCCTCACCTTCAAATTTCATTCACCCGGAATTTTATGCTAACACATTTCTCCCCCAGATATTTTCTCCCAGTAAATCACACACATACAACTATAAAGTTCAATACAGTCGATAATCCATTTGGTTGTCAGTTGTTGAATATGGTACAACAAGGGAAAAAGGGTAACGACCTTCCCAACGGCGGCACAAAGTATAGAGAGCAATCAACAACCATGACCTCGCAAAGAAGAGACATGGGAGATGCTCGAGGAAATGGTATGGGAAAGGCGGATGGCAGATCGCAAAATGGTTCGTCACTCTATATCCAACCAATGACATCACAAAATCTAACCTCTTCAGGCAACTCAAGTTTCTTTCGTACAGATGCTGCGATTTCTGGCAACCGAAACCAAGGAGAGCGTGTATTGCAAAAATGGGTTCCCGATAAGCCCTCTGATACCGATGGCTCCTTGGAAGGAGGTCGAGGAGGAAGAGTTGCTCCTTGGGATCAGTTTGCAGAGAATGAGCGCCGATTCGGCTTGAAGACGGATTATGATGAGAACATTTACACAACTCAGATCAACACAAACCATCCGCATTACGCGCAGAGACTTGCCGAAGCAGATAGAAAGGCTAGAGAAATTGAACGTAGCACAGCCATGAACTCCCATGTTGCAGAGGAACGCATTGCAGATCATATCGGGTCGAATGAGAATGGACTTGACGAAGAAGACAAGTGAGCTTTTTTTTGTTCTTTTATCTTACAAACAATGCTAATACATGGGTAGATACAGTGGTGTTCGCAGACAACAGGATTTCCCACCCCTTACCTCGTCGAAAGGTGCATATCAACCACCTGGAAAGCGTGCTCCTGTTGATCGAACTCCTGCTGAACGTGCTCCTGTCGAACGTCCCCCTGTCGATCGTGCACCCGCAGCTGCCCCAGTTGCTGCACCCGCGGATCGTGGCCTTGTTGATTCGGCTATTATGTTTGCTGGAGCGAAAGCCGACAAACCAGCAGATAAGGTAAAACCAGCTGCAGCTGCGACTGCGAAGTCAGCAAAATCAGACGTGGCAACCCCACCGACTACCACCGAGTCGAGCACCACTCCTACTCCCGAGCTTAAGGTGTCTGCGGCTCCTTCTGCAAGTCGCACAGTCTCCCCACAGGTCAAGACTACTGGTGGACCCAATGCTACAGCAACTGTTGAGGCCGATGTATCTAAGGCTTTCAGGACCTTTGCTGCTAATCAGCGAAACAATATTCAGCAAATTCGCATTAACAAAGCCAAGAATGACAAGCAAATCAAACTCAATGACTTAAAGAGATTTGCGATTGATTTCAAGTTGAACACTCCAGTTCCATCAGATCTTGTTCCTATCATTGCCAAGGATCCTGCAAAGCAAAAAGCAATCCAGGAGAAAGCACAGCGCAATGCTGAAGAAGCAAAGCTGCATCCTGCTGATTCGGTCAAGCCAATTACACCAGGTACGGATGGGAATGCTGCACAACGTTCAGCTACTACAACCACTCCTCATACTACATCACCACCGGCCGCTACACCTACTCGCCAAAATGTTAATCGTGGTCCTTATCCTCAAGGTAGCCACAGTTTTACGCAAAATTCTCGAGGCGATAGACCTGTTCAAGCACAGCAGACCATGCCCCGAAGCGGCACAGCCGGAAATTTGGCCCAACGATTAAGAACTCTCGAACAGAATAGGCCCGCTCAAGTACCATCGAATGTGATGCCAGCTCATGAGGCTAGACTTCCTCCCACGGGTCCCTCGAACGCAGTTGACCCGAACTTTTCCCGTCGCTCAAGTGGTGTAACAAGCGCTCAAGGTGGTCCAAGACTGAACGCCAGCGTCAGCGAATTTCGCCCAAATGCATTCGCAAAAGACTTTAGTCCGGCTGGTAACCCAAGCAGTGGTTCGAGTCCTCGTTCAATGGCCAATGCTCCAGAGACTCAATCAACAACACCAGTCGCACGTTCTTTGATTCGTCGTAAGCCATTGGCAAAGAGCGCTCGCCCTTCACTCCAAGGCAAATATGATGCAATGGAACTCATTAAGACCCTCAAGCCAGGAGATGGAAAGAACTGGAGCGCAAATGGTGGTTTAAAGCCAGCCTACGATACCCATTTGTTATGGAAGTTGAGTGCTAACGGTGCTCCTACGGAGTCTTACGTCCAAATCTTCGAAAAGGCACCATTCCCGACTACAACACCAGTTGTATCAGAGCCTCACCCACCGCAAGCGGCTCCACAAGTACCACATCAACATCAACTACCATTCCACCTTCAATCTGGTGTGCACAACATTAACGCTAGACAATCCCCACGTCAACCACCAATTAGCATGCATGGAGCTCAAATGGGTCACCCCACACCAACTTTCAGTGGTCCTGATGAAATGCGCATGATGCCATCACACTCTGCACAGTCTTTCTCATCTCCGAGAATGCAGCAACTGCCGATGGCATTCCATTCTCCAATGGGTGCAAATGCTCAATTAGCCTACAATCCACAGATGGTACCTTACCCAGGTGCACCTCAAATGCAACCATTCAGATCCCTTTCTCAAAACCATCAATTCATGCCACAGCAGGGACATATGGGTCAACCAGTTATGATGCCTAACCCTGCAGGTGGGTTTTTGCCTCCACAAGGAATGGCACCTGGTCCACAAATGATGTATCCACCTGGTGCGCAAGGTCAATTCATGCCACCAAATAATGGTCATCCTCCAGCTATGCCAAATGGCGGTTATCCAAGTCCTGGTCGAGGTGCTCCAATGATGATGAACCAAGGTTCCCAACAAGGTCATCCACAACCTATGTACGGTATGAGTCCAGGTCCTCAATACGGCAACGTAGCACCGGTTTTCCCTCAACCAATTCCAAATCAAAGTAAGTTCAATATTCTAGAAAATGTTGCAATGGATTCTAATACAACGATAGTGCCAATGCGAGGTAGTTATGGGGGACCAAACCCATACGTCACAAGCCCTCAGAATCTTCAAGGCGCCCCAAGAAATCAATATAACCCAAATTCATCGGATTACATTAACAAACCAAACTACCGACATGGTCAACACCCACACGGCCCACCAAACAATCAAGTTCCAACTGGTCCTCAAGCTCAAGCTACTGTTGGGGCTGATGAGAGTAAATGAGCAAAGATGCTCTAACTTTCGAAAACATATTCATCACGTCGATGCTTCAGCATCATGCATTTTGATAAAGTGGAGGAGAACAGCATCAAGTCTATGACCTTTTATTGTCGCATCTTTATAGTGATTGCATCAATATAGTTCATCGGACCTTATTTGGATCATTGACATCAATAATCCAGAGATCAAAGCAATTGGATCCATTTCACCAATTTGATCTCAAATCAATGGTGGTTAGTTGGTACAGATTTATTTTTTGCTTAGCTGTCTGATATGGAGGAATTTTATACTGCCGTTGAGATGTATATCTGATATTTGTATCAGAAGATTGGCCCGGAAGGATGGATTCGACTCGACTGCTATCAAGTTTATTGGGGGATGCGCAACCCAACTGTACAGCGGGGTGGAAGGGAGGAAACCATTGCAGGATTGTTTTCTTTAAATAGAAACATTCATCAAGCATTTGGTGAGCTGGCCAGACTAGCAGATGCGATATTCCATCAATTAGAGAGGCTTGATAAAATGTATTCATTAATATGATGGAAGGAATGAACTGACAAAGGCTTTTAGCTGATGGGTAGAAGATGGTCATTTTTCTATTCATCACTTTTATGTATCCTACATAGCTTTAGGTCTATAAGCATGAGAATCGTTCCATCACCATGGTTTGTGTCTTTGGATGTGAATTGATACGATATTCTTGAATATTATTCCCAATGCCATTTTTTAACACCAGTTCCATTCCCTTTGCAAACGCCTGCGCCCATACACATGAGTTCGCTTTTCGCTTTTGATGTCAAAACTCGTGAAAAACTGTAGCGGCGCAATGAACTTCTCACTTCTTAACTTATCCATCACCTCGAACCAGACCCAGAATCAGAATCAGAATCAGAATCAGAATCAATCAGTGCCTCTAACCCAGCCGCTTCCTCACTAGGTAATTGACGTGGGAACCATCCGTACGTGGTGAGGGATATGGATAATTCGCCTACTGTTTTTGAGGGGGGGTAAGGGTGTTAGTTGGGTTTGGGTTTTGGGGTTTGGAGAGGAGGAGTGGGGGAAGGGGAAGAGGAAGGGAAGGGAAGGGAAGGGAAGGGAAGGAAACTTACGAGATCCGGTGCTGATGGTTATGCCTTCGGTTCGGAGGGCTGTGGCTTGAGATTGGGTGCCGGTGGGGTGGGTTCTTTTTTGCGGGTGGGGGAGGGGGTGTTAGTTGGGGGTGTGGGATTTGGGGGGAGGTTGGGGAGTTTGGGAGGTTTGGAGGGGGTGAGGGGTTTGGGGGGTTTGAGGGGGAAGATGTGTATATGTATGGATGGATATGGATGGATGGACATGCGATGGAAGTGGGAGGTGGGAAGTGGGAAGTGGAAGAACGGAGGGGAAAAAGAGAGGGGAAGAAAAGGTATAAGGAGGAGAAAGGAAAGAGGAGATATACCTAGGACTTATCATACCCTTGGAATTTATTACACGGTGCCAGGGCACATTTCCATTGTGGACTTTGATTTGGTGAAGGGGGAGTTAGTGGATGTTTTATTCTTTTATTCCTTTTTTTTTTGGATTTTTGGATTGTTTACCCGGAGAGAAAGCTGGGAGAAGAGGGAGTGTGAAGGGACTGGGGATGAGATGGCATGTTGAGTTATGAGGAGGATGGTTATTGGAAGGTTGTCGCAGGGTTAAGGGGGAGGATGAAAGAAGCTCTTACTTACAAAGCAGCGAAGGATCGGTAGGTAAATGCTTAAGACATATTCCCACCTGACGGGGTCGTTGTGCTATAGAAAGACGATTAGTTTAAATCTTTGAGATAAAAATTGCCTGGAGGTGGATTTTGATGAGATCTAAATTATGAATAGTAGAGATATATAAAAATGGAATAGAACAACGAAGGAAGGAGTATGTAACATACGCGTTCCGATTAATCGTGCGATGTGTCCGTAACTGGTTACTTTTCCGTAGGGAATTTCTTGGACGGCGCTGTAGACTGAGTGGTAGAAGGCTTCGGCTTCGTTGGTGCGGGGCATGGTTGGTGGGTTGAGGGTTGAGGGTTGAAGGAGGGGGTGGATGTTGGATGTTGGAGGTTTTGAGTGAGGGGATGATGGGGTTAGGAGTTGAGCTTGTTAATAAAGATTTCTAGAGAAGTCTACAAAAGAGGAATATTGTATTCTTGATAGTGAGCTATTTGATTTTTTATGAGTTGTTTATTATGATTTCATCTAATAATTAAAGATTTAAAATAAACTGATTTCTTGATTCAATATAGATATTCGGCATAAAGAAGAATAAATATATTAGCCAGCAGCCAAAGGTAGGCAGTATTAAATGCAAGCAGGGCTCACCGGGAGCTCCGATAAGAATTACATGCATGATTTACGATAAGAATGGAGATCTCCCGTAACGTAGAAATCTCTCTACTGTATCTCCCGTGCTTCTAAATTAAGCTTCACCGCATATACCGCCTCACGCGTCAAGCTCCGCAACATCTATAACGTTGACGTATGTAGGTGTTATCAGATACTTCTTCTCTCCTCCTTTGGAGAACCAATATGAAGTCCTCGCAAAATCATCAAATATCTTGATGTCTCATAAGGTTTGTTTTCCGTGTAGTGTTATCAAGTCTGTGATATCCCAGCCACCGGAGATTTTTCTCTGCTGTTGGTAATCCCGTTTCGTTTCGTTTCTTGATTTTCCTAGCCTCCTTTTCTTGCTTGCATTTAGGGAAAGGATTCTTTTCTTAAATCAGCCTGGTACTTGCGCTATCTTCTTTTCGATTTGTCGATCTGAAGACTACGGAATTGTATGCATTTGCATTACAGAATTTGATCGAGCTTTAAAAAGCTTCAAGAGCTTATCCTGGTACTGACATCAACCACCCCACCCCTATCAAACTTCAGATCTGGATAGAGATTCTCGAAATGCGTCTTTCATCGGCTTGCCTAGGTCTTCCATCTTCGATTCTCTTATTACTTATTTCGCAGACGGATTCTGTACAAGCTATTCAAGATAATCGATTCTTGACCCATTGGCCTCGCGATCTTACGGCACATTTCAAAGATTGGGTTTATGGATCCCCGAGTTGGAGACAAGATGAAGAACTTGAGAAGGATGATATATTGACTTCTAAAACTCCGATTGGAACTCTGAAAATGAGTGAAGATGAGGGAGAGAAATTCTTTATGGAATATTGGCAATTTGAGGGAGAGGATACTCAATCAAATTTGGATGAGAAGAATAACTTTTTGAGAAAAAGAGATTTGAAGGAGAAGGCTAGGTTATTTGCAAACTCGTCGATTCCTGTCTCTTTTCGAGCGCCATTTGCCTTACATACGGAAGATCATTCGGGATCTTTGAATTATGAAGATATTCGAGCTCGCAGAAAAGATTCAGCTGCTATATTGGCAATACTGGAAAAGAGAGATTTTAAATGTCCTACGGGAACATCGAATTGTTCATCAATAGGATATCCAAATAGTTGTTGCGCAACGGATGAAACTTGTTTCAAAATCACAGATACTGGATTAGGTCCTGTTGGATGTTGTCCTAGTGGAGGAAATTGTGGAGGAACCATTACGAATTGTGCTTCACCTAACACAGCCTGTGGAGATGATGTTGGAGGAGGTTGTTGCATACCAAATTATGTATGTGCTTCAATTGGTTGTGTTATAAATCCATCACTTGTAGTAGTTGTTACTACAACCAAAACTTTCACCGTTATTTCATCAACTCCAACTATTACTACCCAAACAACTACGATTACTAGTACAAGATCTTCAAGCATATCGAGTACATTCTCCCAAAGTTCGACATCAACAGCTTCTACAACTACAGTCACATCAGCTTCAGGAGTTGTTCCCGTTCGACCTACAGGTGATTCTACAACCACAACGACGACGGTGTCATCAACTATCACTGGAGATACGTGTCCAACAGGATTCTATGCCTGTTCAGCTCATTATCAAGGAGGGTGTTGTAGAACAGGTAGAAATTGTGATACAACATCATGTCCAGCTACGTCATCAACAACAATAATTAGCGATGGGATCACAGTAGCAGTTCCAGTTGGATCGGCAGCAACATTAACATCAGCAACAGGAACTTGTGCAACAGGCTGGAGTACTTGTGCGGCTAGTTTGGGTGGTGATTGTTGTCCTAGTGGTTGGGCTTGTGGAACGGCAAGTTGTGAGATTGTACAGACGCAGGCTAGTGCTACGATTACGGAAGTGCGTCAGAAAGAGATTCCTGGGGTGGGTGAGAGAGTTAGGGGAAGAGGAGGAATGGTGGGGGTTTTTGGGTTGATGATTGGGTGGTTGATTTTATGAGGAAAAAGATGAGGTGGGATTATAGATTTATGACTTATGTCTAATGGCCCATGAGTAATGAATATATGAGAATTCTGGACTCATTTCATGGATGATTGGAGTTATAAGTTTGATTTGCATACTGAAATACATACATTCTGATTGGTAATCAATGAATTCTTAGTATTAGATGAATATAGAATTAGAAAATTATAAGGAAATGAACAAAGAGCATGTATTCATTACCGAGTACAAACACATTCAAAAATTCGGAACAGAAAATTATCTAAATAAAATAGAAATTCCTCTCTTTCTTCATTTTCATATTCTATAAGCCGCCTACCTGTTCTTTAAATACGCACTCACTCGTTAGAGAGACCCTCGTTCACTGGTGACTTTATCGATAGATGATTTCTAGACTGCGGGTACTTAGCTGCTGACTAAAATTGAGCCACGACGCCACAACCGTCAAACATTGTGGATCCACTGGTGCTTCCAAGTTCCAACGCTCGGGTGGGAGGGTTGCATGATTTAAGAAACGTGGGGCGAGATTATTTGGCTTGGCTTGGCTTGGGATTTTTTTGACATTTGATTGAGTGAGGTTGAGGGAAGACGTAGAAACGAACAAATCAACTTAGAAGACTCAGATAATACTACGAAAGAACGAAACGAGTTCAAGAAAGGGAAGCGAATATTTCGAGGACCGACGACTTGTTTTTGTTTTGAAGATCAGAGGTTCTGAGTACGGAGGACTGATTACTTGGGTCTGTGGGGTTTATTCGCGAGGGATTTATTTATTTTTGAGGTTCTACGGTATCTGCGTGGAATTAAGAATAATTACGAGTCTGCGGGAGAGAAGATTTATTTGAATGAGAGGTACGGGGGATAATTCGATACGGTCGTACGATACTATACGATACTGGGGAACGCGAACAATAGACCCTGGGGCGGGAGATTGAGTGTGTCTGTTTGTTCGACCTTTTACTGCTTTACTGCGCTTTTGAGGGGAATGGTAGAGGAATAAGGAAAACGAGGAAGAAGAGCCGATATCTGCGGTTGTCTTACGAGGGGCATATACCCAACCAGCATCACCATTCACACATCTACCTACTTTATCCAGCTATCTACATACAAAAATATCTCTACCTCCACTTTCGCACAATCGATCAAACGCGTCAAATATCCACACACGAAATGGCATCTTCAACTTCCAACTCAGCAGCAGCACGCATGCAAACTCATCTTCAAACAGAACCACAAAATCGCAGCCAAAACCAATTGCAAGGAAGTGTCACTATAACTCAATCACAAACTCATACATCAGCACCAGTTTTACGTTTAAGAGGCGAATCAACTGGAGAAAGTGAAAGTAGTACGAATGGGGAGAGGGGTTTAGGACGCGGAAGAAGAATTCAATGGGCGGAGGATGTGGTAGATAATGAGGGATTAGGGAGGAAAAAGAGTAAAGGTATTTATAGAGTTTCTTTTTTGTACTGATCGGGTGTTGGGGAGTAGAACTTGATGGAATTTGGATGAAGTTCTTTTTTCCTTGGACAGAGAGGGAAGAAACACACAGGAACAAAATAAGCTAACGATAATGAATTAGTATGTTGTATATACCACGCTCCTCGCCCTATCGACGAATCATCAGATGAATCTTCGAGTGATAGTGATGATAGTAGTAGTGATGATGATGGGGGTGCGAAACCTTCGGGAGGTAATGGGGATAAACATGATCATGGGGATGAGTGCGCACATGGACATGCACATGGAAAGGGAAAGGGTAAAGGCAAAGAAAGGAAAAGAAGTCCAAATGCTTATGAGAGGCAGCCGAATTATAAAGGGAAGGATAAAGGGAAAGGTGGTGGATAAATAAAGTTGATGTGAGCTTCTGCGGTGGGGATATATGTGTTTGAATCAGGGGTTTGGGGAAAGTGGAAGTGGAAGAGGAGGGGATGGTTCTGGGCAAGCATACTTTTTTTATGACTTACGACTTTAATTTTTCTTTGATAGAAGATTGGGGTTGGAGTTAGGTTGGGTTGGGATTTGTTGTTTTCATGTATTTGCATGAATGTATACATGCATGCATCTCTAGAACAAGATATGAAATATGAGATATAAATGAATATCTGATGAATGATGAAATGTGCATATATATACTGGCACACAGATGTACATGTAAGACTTATTTACGAATATAATCTTACATTTTTTATCATGAATATCACAAGGTACTTTGACTTGTAGGTAATATAAATTTTATTGATAAAAGTATATACTATCTAGATACCTATCTACAGTAACAACTCAAGGACTACTGGTTAGATAGGAAGTTTTTTGGGATGAAAAGAGAGGAAGTGTGGAGGGGGGGGGTATTTAGTTAGCTGAAGGGTGAAAATTGGGGAGTTTGTATTGTTTCGGTGGGTAGATGGATAGATGGGTAGATAGACAGTATTGTGAATGAGTTTGGGTACTAATTAGGTAGTTTATTTGAGAGAAGGGGAGAGGAGGGGAGAGGAGGGTGAGTGGGGAGAGAATATTAAATGGATATTAAACTGATAGTGTCTTTTATATGATTTTTTTGGAAAAAGATAGAATAAAAGAAGCTTGAGAAGATTATCTATAAATGATGAGGCGAAGGATATTATAGATGAGAATTTAAAAGAGTGTAAAATAGACGAGATTATTTAGAGAGAGGGTAGAAGATGATATTTGAATAACTTGAATAGAATTAGAATCTTGATTATAAGTTTAGAGAATGGAATTATCTAATTATCTAATAGGAAAAGAGATTTCTGAGAATAAGAATAAGAAGAGAGAGACTTTGAGTAATCATATAATTATCGGCTCGATGAGATGAGATTATATTGGTGGATGTGTTTGGTAGTTTTGATGAGGAGAGTGTTACGAGGTTTGCCGTCTAGATCACGTGGAAGTGCTCTAGGCTCTCGAAGTAGGTTTATAACTAGGCGTCAAGCAGGGACTTAAAGTAATGACAATAATGATATGCAATTCGTAACTAATAGTAGAGTATACTAAATGATTGATCTTGAGCACGAAGCTCTATACAAAGGGAATCCATCTTGGTTATATAGATATTCATGCTCCCTTGGATCCTTTTGGATCCTAAGCTCCAAAGGCTCCATTGGATCCTTTTGGATCCTCAAGCTCCAAAAGCTCCAAGTCACGTGCTTTCTGACAGTGCGTGCACATACGATCTTAAGGTGGCCCAGATCACATATTAATTCGATGAAATCTGATCGCTTTTGCACAAGGCCCAAGCTCTCCTAATTAGTCAATTGTTACTATCGTAACAGAGAGGGGAATTAAAGAGGAAGTTAATTAAATTGCTATAAAATTTCTTATAGATTACTCTGGATATTATATATAAGATTGGATATTTGCAGTGGTTTGGATGTTTAGGTTGTGGTTTGGTATAATATAACTAGTGTTAATAAGTGTTTGGGATGAAAACTAAAGGAAGAAATCAAGTAAATTATATCACTAGAAAAACTAAAAATATAAGATCAGGAGTATGAGATTTGAAAAATATTTGTTATTACTATAAATTAATAGTGAGATTAAAGACTTGCTATCAATATTAATTAGACTTCACCTGTAGTATAAAAATTAATTAGTCTACTTTAAATTTAATATTTAGAATAATTAATAAGAGATCGAATTGTAACGATACTGTACCGGAGGCAGCGGCTGCCTGAGGTTTCGTCTGATTGGTAGTTGTGGGTTAAGGCTTTATCACTAGTCTTCACTTGGAAGTGAAGTCGTTACTAGATCAAGTAGAATGTAGGTAAACTAATTGATAACTAAGTTGAGCACGAAGCTCCTAAACTATGAAACTACTCTGACTATATACTGAACAATAAAGGGGGCCCCTAGGAGCTTTCTGGCTCCTCAAGACTCCTTATCACGCGATTTCTGATGGTGCGTGCGCATACGATCTTCAGGTGACCAAGATCACATACTAATTCGATGAAATCTGATCGTGTTTGCACACGGCCTAAGCTCTCCTAATTAATCAGTTTGCTACCATCGTAACACCATCAATCCTAATGGTGAATCGTGACACGAATGTTACGTCCAAAACGATTAGTATGTCACATGACCATAAAACATGTGATGGAACGGTGAGGAACGAACGTTCCTAGGAACAACCAGGAACGCTCGTTCCCAGGAACGACGATTCCTAGTTAACCATAGGCACGAAGGACTATATAATCAAGATGGATTTCTTTTGTATAGAGCTTCGTGCTCAAGATCAATCATTTAGTATACTCTACTATTAGTTACGAATTGCATTATTGTCATTACTTTAAGTCCCTGCTTGACGCCTAGTTATAGACCACCTCGAGAGCCTAGAGCACTTCCACGTGATCTAGACGGCAAACCTCGTAACATCGAACTGTGTAGTGTAATATATATTATCCCTTGAGTATATGAGTAGATGAATTTATAAATATTTATATTATTGTTGTCACACTCAAGAATACTGGGTAAAGTATCTTGTATTAGAAAATACTAAGCTAAGGAGAAAAGAAGAAGGAAAACAAGAGTAGAGATTGATTGATTGATTGTGTTTATCGTCATAGGCCGTAGGCCCACGCGCCTTGGCGCGTGATAACCTTAGCCATCTATTCCAGTTTTGGACAAATGACGCTCAGAGGAGAAGCCTCTGAGTGCACAAGAGTAGAGATTGATTGATTGATTGATTGTGTTTATCGTCATAGGCCGTAGGCCCACGCGCCTTGGCGCGTGATAACCTTAGCCATCTATTCCAGTTTTGGACAAATGACGCTCAGAGGAGAAGCCTCTGAGTGGTTTACTAGCTAGCTAGGGGGAGTATTTATATACAATTTAAAGGGGGCTAGGGCAGGGTTTACATGATTGCCTTCGCAGGGGGGGTTTGGGCCGGTAGGCCTTTTGGGGTTGTAATTGTGGTCATCCTCGTCCACTAGATCACTGGCTCTTGATCTCTCTCCCTTCCCCTCATACTATTAAAACATTGTACTCGAAAACCCTTCATCCCTGATCCCCTTCCCGATACCATCAATCCAATTACTCCTTATATACCAGAACGTACTGTAATCGCCCACCGTCAGGATTGCCTCGTCCTCATTCTGATCATCCTGCCAATAGAAAGCTTATGAAGGAGCACCAATCCTCATATAGCGTAACTATAGCATGCACAGGTAGTGGCTTGTACGGGTGTCCCGATTCCGTAAGTAGCATACCTCCGCTGAATGAGAGCAGAGTAAGTTTCGTCATCAGCTCAGGTCCTTCAACAGTACTCCTCCGGTGTTCCCGTATGGAAGGTATATAAATTGTTGTCGTTTCAGTCGTGTCGATCATGGGAGGTATACAGTATATAACATATACGCGTCAAAGATGTCGAGTTGTACTATATGTTCCAGAGGAGTCTCACTTTTAAGAAGTGAGATGATTTCGTGGCGTATTGTCGTAGATGATGGTGTTGTCCTCTGTTTCGTAATAAAGGTAGTGTTGTAGAGAGCGCATTTCGATAATGCAACTGTCAAAAAACCGCAAACGGGTAAAAACGTCGTGATCGGGCGCCTCTTCCTCTTCCAATTACCACGACTCCATCAAATAACTCAAACTTAGCTCTGCAGACTCTCATAAGAGAGCTGGAGGTTCGTAGGATGCACCGCGTACAGGTGTTGAGTCTTCGCATCCCCACAAGAGTAGAGAGTTTTCCTATGATTAAATACAAACGGGGCATGCCACGTGACCCGGAGGTGTGAGGCGTCACAATTGTCATTATTAATAATATTTATCTACTTCAAGTTTTAAACTTTTAATACTTGATCTATAATCATAATGTCTTTTATTTAAATATATAACATTGAAAAAGAAGTTCTATTGGATTTCTTTACTATAATTACTTTTAGTGATCTACTCTCTTATAAGACTTAATTATTCAAACTCGGAATATTTCATATTAAAATAAAAAACCCAGTCTAATCATTTGAATATCTTTTATTCGAGGCACTCTACTAATAAAAATATAAACTCAGGTATAAGATAGTATAATTAGATGTATTACAACTTGACAAAATGAGAAAAAGAGTAACAAAATTGATAATCAATCAAGCGGGTAAAATTACTCTATAAGATATTGAAAACAGAGCGAAGTATACCAGTAGAATACTATTAATAAAGATCTTAGATGATGCTACTTTGAATTTGAGTTGAGTTAGATGATCACGGGTTAGTTAGAAGACAATTATCACTTATAATACCGGCTACTCTTATTTCTTAAGGTTCATTTTCGTCTGGAAGAGAGGCTGCAGGTTCTTTTACGGAGAGAGTTTGGTAGGAGAGAGGAGAGAGAGAGAGAGTATGATATGAAGTAGAGGAATATGAAAAGTGTAAGGTAGCGGGTTATAGGAGTATTATAGTATGACATGGAGAGTAGAGAATAATGGATAGGGAGTATTAGAAGTAAAGGTATGAAGTAAAGAACAACAGATAGAGAATAAAAAATAGGGAATAGAAAGTAGAGAGTAGGAAAGTAGACAGTGGGAAAGTAGACAGTGGGAAAGTAGACAGTGGGAAAGTAGACAGTAGGAAAGTAGAGAATACCAAAGTAGAAAGTAGGAAACTAAAGAACAAAAAAGTAAAAAGTAGAAAAGCAGCAATTATATATAAAACAATAAATAACACCAAATACTTCCACTCCTTATCAGCTCATTTTATCTAGACTTAAATCGAAACAGTAATAGATATCCTAATCTATTAATAATGGGGTAAATACCGCGAAGTAATGAAAATAGAGGGGCAACCTCTTAATAAGGGGAAGTCCGGAGAAAAACTGAGATAAGAAGATACTTCGGAATTAGGGATCCAAGAAGTGGATTTAGGGTTCTTGATAGTGGGTGGTATGGATGGGGTGGAGAAAAAGGGGAATGGATGGATGGATGTGGCGATATTGATGGTGAGGTGTATTGTGTACGGGATGTAGTTCTGATGGTTCTATTAGTGGTAGGAATGAGATGGGCTGTTGAGATACGGCTATAGTTTAACTCACTCACTACGTACTCACAACATCATGCACGCGATGAAAAAAGTTCTCGTGCAGCAGAAAAAGGCTGCGAGATTTATATACATGAAGCATTATAAGCTCCAAAAAGACTATATACACTATATACATGAAGCATCACAAACTCCGAAAAACTATATACATGAAGCAACACAAGCCCCAAAGAAAAACACTATATACATCTAAAAACATCATCAGAAGATAACTACCGCCATCACCCGCTTTCAATCACCAAAAGAGCATTGTACATAGCTAACTTAAGAAAGGTAGCTAGTATCAACCCACGATTTGTAGTTGCTACCCAAAACACCAGAGATAGTGTAAGGAGTAGAGTACGAGTGGGAGAAGCTTGCACGGGTACCCGAAGCACCGGCACCGGTGTTGGCATGTTCCTCAAAGAGAACATTCTGAGTATTTGGCGAGCTGGTAGACCAAACCGACCATCCGGCACTATTAATAACGTTGCTCATTGAAGTTTCTTGGACAGCGACACGAGCATATTGACTCCATGGACGACCAAGGTAAACGGTGCCGGCACCGGCGCTTGAGGATGCACTAGTGGTGATGGTACATTTGTTGATGACATAGAGAGATGGGTCAGAGGTAGATGGACGTCCATCGGCGGTAATACATCCACCACCAGCTGAAGCAGCAATGGTAGAACCGTCAAACCAAGCGACAGAGTGTTGACCGAAGATCCAGTCGACGGCTCCCTCAATGTAGCATTTAGCGTAAACTTGATTTCCAATTTGAGTCAGGAGAGTATCTTGGTATCCGTAAAGTCCAACACCGTAGTAACCTTGATCGGTGTTGTAGGCGGCCAGAGCAATGGCTTGAGAACCCTTTCCATAGGTGTTCTTAATGTTGATGTTGTAGAAAGCGGTGTTTGCGGACAAGTTAATGACGGTTCCGGTTTCTTCGTCGTTAGCGGCACCGCTCAAGAGAGAAGAACTGTGTTGGATGTTGACGACGTTGCTTCCATAGGAGCTAGTATCCTTGGTGTATCCATATACAGTGAGTTTTCCCTTCAAAGCGGGTATGGTAACTTGTTCCGCGTAAGTACCAGAGTAGAGGAAGATGCTTTGGGCCGAAGTGGTGGTGGTGCTGAGAGCATTAACGGCTTTTTGGAACTATAATGGTTTAGTTAGGATGATTTAATGGATCTCGGTCGAGTTTATTTTCGGCAACGTACAGTAGCATAGGTTCCTCCCTTACCGGCCGTAATGGCACCGGAAGGAGGGCTAGTGCGAGCTGCGGCCAGCACAGCGGCGACGAAAGTACTGAGGGTAAGAAGAACACGCATTGTGGCAACGACACGGACTGGAATGGACGAATGAATGAATTGATGGAAGTCTGTGGGAACAAGTGTCAAAGGCCGATGCAGACTATTTAACCAGTGGACACTGGACATCCCATGCTGCATGCGAAGACTCCTGAGAGAGCTTCGGTAAATGTTCAATATGGAATTCTCCGAATTGGACGCCTAGCCAAGAGCAATATCGAGAATCACCCGATAGTAGAATGCCACCCCGAAAATCACTCGAATACGTCTCGGTCCCTCGGTGTGAAGATGTCAGGACCTATCAACCCCACTCCCGGACACATGTGTTGGGGTTCTTAATGGGGTTGTAATAAGCGTCTTTACAAGGCATCTTGCAATGTATACATTATTGATTCTTCGGCTGAAGCCCATTTTAGATTGATTAGATCCTTTTATCACAATTCTGGGTCCGCGGGTAAAACATGACCATTGACAATCGTCAATCTAGTCAACCCATCACATCGACCCCGTCACATCTAAACAACCAGTAAAAGTATTCTGGAATCTTTTGAACGAAACCATAGACTAGCTATCTCTGATGAGTAAATCATGAGGAGGCGTTTGATTGGTCAAAGTCGCCATCGGCAGCTAGTGGAAATACCCATTTTCGTCGTAGAAGCGAGTTTCAGGTTTTCTTATTTGATATTGCTCAAAAGTGGATGCAGAAAAGGCAATTGTAAAGTGCATCCAGGGTCCTTCGCCACTTCTTTGACGACACATATGTATTTTACATAGGAAGTACAGCAAAAGAGATGACCAGGTAGTTTACACTTTTTCTTTTTTTGGAAACAGACCTCCAGTCACTCAAGTGAAATTCCCTCTTGATATTGGTCGTCTGATCAAGAAAATAAGCAATTCTTCATAACAGCCATAGTTGCGAGTATTTTCAAGGTAGTCCCTTGGGTAAGTTGAGATTAAGTTGAGGCACGGGACGGGTATTTTCGACGCATCTGGACTTTGATAGATGGAAAATAGATGGATGAATCATTGACCTGGAATGGGATATTAGGTTCGCTGATAGAAAACTCCTTGTTCTTCAAATTGAGACATCATCAAACTACCGACAAGAAATTCCAACACACATGGATTGAACAAATTGATGAAGCGTGATTCCGAAAAGGTTCTAGTTCTTCCATATCTTCCAGGAACCATCCACTGTTGAGCCACTCTTGTGAAGTTGTGAGCCACATTTTCACCGATAACTGGGTTGTGAGTCGGAAAATCATGCGACTTATCATGAATCATGATATTCTATGCCGTGGTGGAGTACGAGAACGTACATACGTACATCCAGAGTATTGATTATGGAGTTTTTAATTTGTGATAATATGGGTCATTTGTAAGATCTTACTCATGCCGTCCGCCAGGAACCCGTGCGGCCAGAAAGTAAAGCACTCCCGTCTAATCAAGAGTTAAATGATAGCGGGAAAATGTTTCGAGCGTTTTAAATTGAGGGAATGTAGAAGCCTCAAGGCCATATTGAATGTAGACTGTAGTGATAGATTGTCTTGGAGTGATACGACCAAAACTCTATCGTAATAAAGTGTAATTATAAAAAACATGTCTATTTCATTGGTCAAATTAAAGATTCTAAACATTGACAATTTGATATACTACGACAGCGTAAGCAACTTTCCAGTGTCTGGTACGAAACTCTATGCACATGCCATGAGATTGTAAATTACAACGTGGGTTCTTTAGCGTCGGAGGTTTCATGCCTTTCCAGGAGCACGTACTGTAACAGCTTACAAGTAGCAAGTTGGCAATGCTTAATAAATGCTTATTTAATGCTAATAGGGGTATCGTGGGTATATCCGGGGGCATCATGAAGCAGGCAAATGGATTTAAAATTACTTTGGAGGCGGTAAATGAAGAAATACAGGACCCAGGCACCGACTCATCTTGGCATAGAAGGGAGCTTCCTTCCGTCTGTCGGTAGTTGTAGGGGACGTCTTGGTACAATGCTGCGTCACGCGTATGGATGCGAGCAGAATTAAGGTTGTCATAATGTCATTGTCATTGAATCGAATACCACCCACGGAAGTACTCGTACGCACTTTTAACTTTACACAAATGATTGACAGTGACATCTTATCGAACATGTTGTACTTTACTTTAGCTTTCGGAGTATTGCCATCTCCACACTTCGGAATATTCACATCACCATCGCGATATCTCCCATGCTGTGTTCGTATGGCTCTGCTCAAAGTTCATTGAGCCGTAATTGTTTCCCGTATATTCCTATTTGCCTATACTACTACAGCATATAGCAATTAGTTCTTATAGTTCTTATCACAGAGTACAGAATGTTTTTCTTCCACCAATTGCACTGAAGTGATAGTGAAGAATGACAATGTGACTGATCTACCAGCAGAAAGAAACAATTTCCCGTGATGATAATACCATAATCCATGAACATCTTCAGAATCATTCACATTCCATCCCTTGCACGGAATACCGTATCGTAGGTTATGCAGCGGTTATTAATAGCGATAATGCTTAATGTTTTCACCAGTGGACGTTTCAAATGCAGAGAATAATCCGTCCTCCACCGCTACACACTTTCAGGGGTATTTGTCCCGTAACCACACCAATCACAGTCTTCTCCTTCAAAAGTTCCATCACAATTCTAGTGCATCCGCCTGTTGGTACTCCATAGATAATCTTATCAACCCAAAACACCCTAAAGAACTTTCACCCCATGTATTGGTGACTAAATTCAGGGATTGTGCTCTTTAACCTATTTCATGGAATACCGCGGTACGATACTCCGAAATTACTTCGGTATAACATTTAACGCACTAGGCGAGCTTGCCAAAATTGCTTGCTGTGTTAGTATCTTTTTGCTTCGTTTCATCCTCTAATAAACCTTCCCCCTTTGATATATGTGATATGATCACAAAAGATTTGGTGACATTAGGGTGTGATAAATCATGGTGTGCTAGGTAGTGAGTGGGATTGCTTTCTCCTGGCTAAAGTTTATGATATTGATTCAAGGATTGCTAGAGTCAAAATGCGAACCGTGATTGTAGAAATAAAGCATTAACATGATGAATATTTTGGCTCACCGCGGGTTAAGTTGTTCAGGTTCACCGCTGTCGACATGTGTGGGGACAGAAGCCGACGGTGCGAGGATCAGTTTCTACTGCTAAAGTTTATGCTATTGATTCAAGGGTCGCTATGATCGAAATGAGAACCATGGTTCTAGAATTGCAGCTTCAACACAGCATCAATTACTTTGGCTAATTGCTGGTCAGGTTGCACGGGTTTACCGTTGTCGACCTGTGGAGAGCTGACGGTGCGATTTAACGGTGTCCCACTTTAAATCTTCCCCAAATTTCAATCTCGTCTTGACATATATAAGAAGCTTCCAATACCTTCTTTTCTTTCCTCATCTCATCATCACTTACATTCTTTTCCATACTGTCTAGTACATTCACTCTTTACATTCCTTAAATAACAACTCTACTAGCCAATATGGTTCACATTCTTTCCTCGGCCTTGAGCCTCCTTGCGCTGGGCGCAGCTGTGTCTGCCGCTCCAGCACCAGCACCAACTGCTGCACCAAACGTTGCCGATGCTCTTGCAGCAGTCGAGAAGAGGGCCGGTTCCTGCACCTTCTCCGGATCCAGCGGTGCCGCTGCTGCCATCAAGTCCAAGGCTTCCTGCGCAACCATCGTCATCAGCGCCGTCGCCGTTCCATCCGGAACCACCCTCGACTTGACTGGCCTCAAATCTGGTACCCACGTTGTCTTCGAGGGTACTACCACCTTCGGTTACGAAGAGTGGTCCGGTCCTCTCGTCTCCGTCTCCGGAACTGACATCACTGTTACCGGTGCCTCCGGAAGCGTTCTCGATGGTAACGGAGCCAAGTACTGGGATGGCAAGGGTACCAACGGTGGAAAGACCAAGCCAAAGTTCTTCTACGCTCACTCCTTGAAGGGCAAGTCCTCCATCAACAACGTCAAGATCTTGAACTCCCCAGTCCAAGTTTTCTCCATCAACTCTGCCTCTGGTCTTACTCTCTCTGGTATCACTATCGACAACTCTGCCGGTAACTCCCTCGGACACAACACTGATGCTTTCGATGTTGGATCTTCCACTGATATCACCATCTCCGGCGCCAACGTTCAAAACCAAGATGACTGTCTCGCTATCAACTCCGGTACCGGCATCACCTTCACCGGTGGAACCTGCTCCGGTGGTCACGGTCTCTCCATCGGATCCGTCGGTGGACGTTCCGACAACGTTGTCTCTGATGTTATCATTGAATCCTCCACCATCAAGAACTCCGCCAACGGTGTCCGCATCAAGACTGTTTCCGGTGCCACTGGATCCGTCTCCGGCGTTACCTACAAGGACATCACCCTCTCCGGTATTACCAAGTACGGTGTTGTCATCGAGCAAGATTACGAGAACGGTTCCCCAACTGGAAAGCCAACCTCCGGTGTTCCCATCACTGGTGTCACTCTCTCCAACGTTCACGGTACCGTCTCTTCCTCCGCTACCAACGTTTACGTTCTCTGCGCCAAGTGCTCTGGCTGGACCTGGGATGTTAACGTTACTGGTGGTAAGACCTCCACCAAGTGCGCTGGTCTCCCATCTGGTGTCAAGTGTTAAATACTTTAACACGGCTACTTTCAAGCACTGGATTCCACTAGGAAATCAATTGTAGAGGGGGAATGGGGAGAAAGGGGTTCGAGCCGGCTGCACCCAGTTGTCAATTCTTTGTACATATAGCTTCTCTTGTCACACATAGACTGTTTAAACACTTGTAATCGAATTGATTTGATTACCACCAAACCTTTGTCCATCTAAATAATAATTCTTCGTGACTTCTCTGTGTTCATCTTCACCTTTCAGTTCCTGTCTTTTTTAACCATTATCTTTACTAGAACAGACAGCAACTCAAACTTTCCATGATTTGCATACATAGCTCCTATGGCCCAGATGCCTATTCAGCATTTCGGTCTGTTTATCTTTTATTTCTCACCTCAAACGTTGACTTGTGGCTATCTATCTCCAAAGCTCGGATTTCACTGACATTGATGTGAGAGTTCTTTATCCCATGTATGAAATCCAAACATTTTGCTTATAGATTTTCTAACTTTACCTTTGATTTGCATTTGTTGGTGTTTGGCTAAAAAATGGTATCAGACAATATCTCGTATGTTGTTGAGGTGCATATGATTTTGATGCATCGTCATATCTGTCTCTTTGCGTCACCGTATATGTAATTTCTTTTACATCACCATGCATTCGGGAGCTTCCCTTGTCAAAAACGTGGAATTTGCCGCATCAAAATTTGGTCCTCATCAAAATTTAAGTGGGACCCATCAACAATTAAACGGCGACGACGGCTCTCAGGAAAGTTTACTCTAATTGGACAATTGCGATGAACATTTAAATTGGAAGAAAGGATGGAGTCTAAGGATATGAATTGAGCTGTTAATATCTTACAAAGCAGATAATATTTGGCCACCACTCAAGGGAACGGAGATTCCGGACATAGTGGAACGCATTCGCTTGTCCCCTCATTTTGGATTCTGAGAAGACTTTCAGAGGGAGAACAAAGTGATTCAGTACAAGTTTGGGGTTCAGATGTTAGCTGTGTGAGAGTGAAAAGAAAAAAAAACATCTTAACCCACGCGCATTGTGGTAAAAGGATACGACAAGGCGCAAATATGTTCCGTACAATGATATCAGGGTCAAGGTTTGTGGGAATGCGCCAGTCGATGACAGTGTCTAGAACTATGATTCGAAGCTCGACTCCTGCAAGAACTGCCATTTTGCAGAATCTCCCACACAGACCAATAACAACATCTGCTACTTCTGCGAATTCTCTCCGCACAAAATCTCGTCCTCGAACCACAAACTTTACATTTTCCTCGAATCCTAAACCTTCCTCGGAAACATTATTTCAACGGCTTCACGCAAGGACAAACAGATATTTTCACAATTCAAGGCCGAGGAGGGATGGAGGGGCAAAGGCAGAAAATCTAGGGGACGAAACATCATTATCTGGGAGAATGAAGAAATTGAGTAGGGAATATGGGTGGAGCGTGGTAGGAGTTTATATATTCTTGTCCGCCGCAGATTTTCCCTTTTGCTATTTATTGGTTCGGACTTTAGGAACAGATAGAATTGGTAAGTTAAATGTTTTCTTCGAGTTTGATTTAAGGGGATCTCATTTGAAATTTACCTATTGATGGAAGTTCATTGTGGATTTCCTGACTGCAATCTTTGACTTATAATATTCCAAAATTCGTCTCAAGTCATGAGTTAACAGTATTCAAGGTGAATGGGAGCACATTATTACCTCGAACATCAAGAAAATGATACCCGAATCTATCAAAAATGCCTGGCACGAATGGCGAACCGCCATGAAAAAAGCCGAACATGATATAACTGGCTCAGACAAAATCAACGACGGCGTAGAAATGGCTGGATGGGGCGTCGAGGAAGCCGAAGAGAGAAATAAAAAAGATGCAAGTCTTGGTACACAACTCGCTCTGGCATATGCTATTCATAAATCCTTCATTTTTATTCGAGTGCCATTAACAGCAGCCATTACTCCAAAGGTTGTGAGGACTTTAAGGGGATGGGGTTGGGATATAGGGAAGCGAACTTCGAAGGAGGAGAAGAAAATAAGGGCAGCTCATCATGCTGCTAAACCTGCGAAGCCTGTTGCATCGAGGGTAAAGAAGGTCTTTCAGACTAAAAAGAAGTCTTGATTGTGGGACTTGTTTTGGGCGTGAGGGGTGTATATACAAAAGGATGGTACATAAAAGCTTGGGTCACTGAATTATGAACAGAAAAAGATATTTATGGAAGAGAAAGGAATGGGAGGAAGGATGTTACGATTAGCACGGCATGGTATGGTGAAAAGCATTGAATGGAGTTTTGTTTTATATCACAAGCTACACAACACGCATAGCAACTTTTGGGATTCGAGGGAGTTATACCAAATAGAATACTCCTCTCATGTTTTATTTACTACGAAATGAAAATGTTTTGATTGACGGAAATTCATTAAGATTTGGTTTAGGAGTTTGAAAGTCCCAGCTATGACATGACTCATGAGGAAATGTGTCAACAGTTCACTAAAAAAGCTCAGGCTCACACTCATAGGGAGTCCCCCGACTCCCCGGATTCGGAGAGAAAATAGCATTTAAATTATGCATTTTATGTAGGTATTTTATGCTATAGTATGGGATTTATGAAATGAACTGTTGGGATCTTCTCCATCTTTAACAATCAATGACCGCCATTTCTTATTTCAGTACAAGTGAAGAAATCACCAATTTCCAATTACTGAACCAAACAAGCATTCACTCCGCATTTTACCAAGAAAACATTTCCCTCAAAGCACATTTGTGATAAAAATCGGTGGTCCAATCGGACAACGGAAAAATCTCCACGCTGGCTTTCAGACGGGTGGTTTACCCCGCCATTCCTCACATCGTGGCTCCTCAAGCTAGATTGTCTGCTATTGCACGACAAATAAATCCTATTTCTTCAGATACTTCCAGTCAATTATCTACAACAACAAGAAACTTTACCAATTCTACGAAACACTCGAAATTTCAGGAAACTAATTCCAAAATGTCAAATCAACCTGCTCATCCTACCTTGTTCATTCCAGGCCCTATCGAATTCGATGATGCTGTTTTACAGTCTATGAGCCATTATAGGTGTGTATATTTTGCTATTTTTGATTTTGTACAAACGGCATAGCTTGAGATGGGATAATTTACTGATATTTATCTTTAAATAGTGAGAGTCATGTCGGCGCACCATTTGTAGCCGTATTTGGAGAAACACTCCAAATGCTTCGCAAGCTGTTCCAATCCACTGATCCCTCATCCCAACCCCTCGTTGTCTCTGGTTCCGGTACTCTCGGCTGGGATCTTGTCGCGGCCAATCTTGCGGAGCCTGGTGATGAGGTCTTGGTTCTTCATACGGGCTATTTTGCCGATTCGTTCGCAGATTGTTTTGAAACTTATGGCGTGAAACCTACGCAATTGAAGGCGAAGATTGGTGAGAGACCTCAATTGGATGAGATTGAGAAGGCGTTGAAGGAGAAGAAATATAAATTGATTACGGTTACGCATGTGGATACTTCGACGGGGGTATTGAGTGAGTTGCAGAAATTGAGTGAGCTTGTTCATTGCGTTTCTCCAGATACTTTGGTTATCGTGGATGGTGTTTGTAGTGTGGGATGTGAGGAGATTGAATTCGATAAGTGGGGGTTGGATGCTGTTATTACGGCTAGTCAAAAGGCAATTGGTTGTCCAGCTGGTCTTTCAATTTCCTACTATAGTGGTAGAGCGATTGAGAGTTTCAAGTCTAGGAAGACTCCTCCTGGGTCGTATTTTGCTTCGTTTAAGAATTGGTTGCCGAGTAAGTTTTATCTTGTTCAAGCCCTCACTCTTTGGATAGGAAGAAAGCTAATATTAAAATAGTAATGCAAAACTACGAGGCTAAAAAGCCATCCTATTTTGCCACTCCCTCCCCTCAACTTATTCACGCCTTGCACACCTCACTCACTCAAATTCTCTCTATTCCCCTCTCAGAGCGTTTCGCCCAGCACAAAGCTGTCTCTCAAAAGATCAAACAAGCAGTAGCGGATCTAGGCCTCAAGCAATTGGCATCTAACCCTGCAGATCAAGCAAGTGGTATGACAGCTATTTATCTTCCGGAAAATGTTAAGGCTGCGGATTTATTACCTAGTTTGGGGAAGAAGGGAGTTATTTTTGCGGGAGGACTGCATAAGGAAATTGCGGCCAAGTATATTAGGGTGGGTCATATGGGGGTTAGTGTTATGGATGAGGGGAGGGGCGATATAGAAAAGGCGATTGAGGCTTTGGGGGTGGGGTTGAAGGAGGCTGGGTATCAAAAGGCTTAGGTTTGGGGTTAGAGATTTGTAGATGGGAGAGGGAGGGGGAGGGGAGATAGATACATAGATGATTGAGGTTGGTGTGATGGATTCTAGGTAAAATGGTTGGTGTGACTAGAGATATAAAAAACGGGGAAAAAGGGAAATTTTGGAATGCATATATTTTGGAGAAGAAAAATCTTATAACAAAATCAAAATTTAAGATTTCTTTATAATGTCGATGAGTGGGTGTAAATACCCCATAATAGGTAGCTACCTAGGTAGGTAGGTATGTTCACAGTAAGATTTTGATATCTTATATTTCTAGGAGATTTGAAAGATTTGAAAGATTTGAAAGATTTGAGGTTTTGAGGGTTGGAGTTAGAGTTGAT